CCTCACACCGACACATTAGAGTTGTCTTTCCTCACACCGACACATTAGAGTTGTCTTTCTTCACAACGACACATTAGAGTTGTCTTTCTTCACACCGACACATTAGAGTTGTCTTTCTTCACACCGACACATTAGAGTTGTCTTTCTTCACACCGACACATTAGAGTTGTCTTTCTTCACACCGACACATTAGAGTTGTCTTTCTTCACACCGACACATTAGAGTTGTCTTTCTTCACACCGACACATTAGAGTTGTCTTTCTTCACACCGACACATTAGAGTTGTCTTTCCTCACACCGACACATTAGAGTTGTCTTTCCTCACACCGACACATTAGAGTTGTCTTTCTTCACACCGACACATTAGCAGACTGAAACTGATCATTCCCATGTTGTGGCACTGTTTCAACAGGATCAAAATCCACATTCTGTGAAATATCTCTAGACCTGTGAAATATCTCTAGACCTGTGAAACATCTCTAGACCTGTGAAATATCTTTAGACCTGTGAAACATCTCTAGACCTGTGAAATATCTTTAGACCTGTGAAACATCTCTAGACCTGTGAAATATCTCTAGACCTGTGAAATATCTCTAGACCTGTGAAACATCTCTAGACCTGTGAAATATCTTTAGACCTGTGAAACATCTCTAGACCTGTGAAATATCTCTAGACCTGTGAAATATCTCTAGACCTGTGAAACATCTCTAGACCTGTGAAATATCTTTAGACCTGTGAAACATCTTTAGACCTGTGAAACATCTCTAGACCTGTGAAAAATCTCTAGACCTGTGAAACATCTCTAGACCTGTGAAACATCTCTAGACCTGTGAAACATCTCTAGACCTGTGAAATATCTCCGGACCTGTGAAATATCTTTAGACCTGTGAAATATCTCCGGACCTGTGAAATATCTTTAGACCTGTGAAATATCTCCAGACCTGTGAAATATCTCTAGACCTGTGAACTGTGTCACCATGAGCACGCTCCACATTCTGTGAAATATCCTTCTATAATGTGCAGTCGACCAGTCTAGCCTTTAGCTCAAAGATTCGACTACTGCTCTAGTGACGTAATCAAGTGTTTGCGCCTGACCAAACCTCGTTGATAGAAAAAGAAGTCAAGATGGCGTGCTCTGGCGCACAGCCACTGAACACGTTCATTATTAGTGACGTCATTTCCTATCATTTCCGGCGTGTTTGGGTAAAAAAAATGGCGTCTGCAGTAGCTTTTTAGTCAGATTTTTTTTCACCAACAGCACAGAGAGTCAGCGTCATTGACTGGTGCAAGTTGAACACTGACCATGTAGACTTATCAGTCTGGGAGTCAGTGTCATTGACTGGTGCGAGTTGAACACTGACCATGTAGACTTATCAGTCTGGGAGTCAGCGTCATTGACTGGTGCGAGTTGAACAGCTAAGCCACGAATGTGTTTAACACAAACTAGAAAAGTATGGAGAACATCAAATCGGAATTAGCACTGGGCAGGATTAGGGGCTTTATACTAGGGCTGGTTTAATGTACACAGTATGGCAACATATCATACAAGAACCATTATATATATATATATATATATATATATATATATATATATATATATATATATATATATATATATATATATATATATATATATATATATATATATATATATATAATATATAATATATAAAGTTGAAGTCAGCGTTGACTTAGACTCAGCGGTCTGATTTAGTTGACTAGAAAATAAAAACTAAAAACTAAATATTTAAAGCAACACTCCTAGACAAGGTGAAATATTTCCAATCATGGCGCAGTGTTTGATTGGATAAAATCGATAGGCTTGGGTGGGTCCGTACTTAGGTAGTATCTGATAACCTGAGGAATTGGATATTGATTGGTGTAAGGAGGGGGGAGGGGGCACCCTGCCGTAGTGTCTGGGAGGGGGAGATAGCAGGTGTGGTTAAATTGGTCAGTGATTGGTGACCGATCGGTGACCGATTGGTTGTTGGGTTATTGATGAGTGGTGATTGATTTCTGAGTGCCGCTGTGTTGGCAGGTTTGACTGGGTGTCAGGGTAGACTTGCGTCAGGACGTCAGGGTAGACTTGCGTCAGGACGTCAGGTTAGACGTGCGTCAGGACGTCAGGGTAGACTTGCGTCAGGACGTCAGGGTAGACTTGCGTCAGGACGTCAGGGTAGACGTGCGTCAGGGCATCAGGTTAGACTTGCGTCATGACGTCAGGGTAGACGTGCGTCAGGACGTCAGGCTAGACGTGCGTTATGACGTCAGGTTAGACGTGCGTCAGTGTAGGACGTCAGGTTAGACGTGCGTCAGTGTAGGACGTCAGGGTAGACGTGCGTCAGTGTAGGACGTCAGGGTAGACGTGCGTCAGTTGGACTTGTGGCTGTTGATGTTTGTTGATTTGTGTGTTTGTATATGTCTATCTGTGGCTGTCTGTGGATGTCTATTTGTTGATGTCTTACTTTCTGTGGATGTCTGTCGGCTAATGTTAGGATGACACTGAGTTTTGACGAGAATCGGTGTGGTGCAGAGATTAGGTGATTAACTAAACCAATTAGTGTTGAGCATTTGCTAATTAGATCCTAGTTGTTTAATTAATCCAACATCCAGTTACTTCATTGCTTAGGTAGTTTTATAAGTTGTTCTGGTGTAAGGATTGATCAATTATAGTCTGGTGTAAGGATTGATCAATTATAGTCTCGTGTAAGGATTGATCAATTATAGTCTGATGTAAGGATTGATCAATTATAGTCTCGTGTAAGAATTGATCAATTATAGTCTGGTGTAAGGATTGATCAATTATAGTCTCGTGTAAGGATTGATCAATTATAGTCTGGTGTAAGGATTGATCAATTATAGTCTGGTGTAAGGATTGGTCAATTATAGTCTGGTGTAAGGATTGATTAATTATAGTCTGGTGTAAGGATTGGTCAATTATAGTCTGGTGTAAGGATTGATCAATTATAGTCTGGTGTAAGGATTGGTCAATTATAGTCTGGTGTAAGGATTGATCAATTATAGTCTGGTGTAAGGATTGATCAATTATAGTCTGGTGTAAGGATTGATCAATTATAGTCTGGTGTAAGGATTGGTCAATTATAGTCTGGTGTAAGGATTGATCAATTATAGTCTGGTGTAAGGATTGGTCAATTATAGTCTGGTGTAAGGATTGATCAATTATAGTCTGGTGTAAGGATTGGTCAATTATAGTCTGGTGTAAGGATTGATCAATTATAGTCTGGTGTAAGGATTGATCAATTATAGTCTGGTGTAAGGATTGATCAATTATAGTCTGGTGTAAGGATTGATTAATTATAGTCTGGTGTAAGGATTGATCAATTATAGTCTGGTGTAAGGATTGATCAATTATAGTCTGGTGTAAGGATTGATTAATTATAGTCTGGTGTAAGGATTGATCAATTATAGTCTGGTGTAAGGATTGATCAATTATAGTCTGGTGTAAGGATTGATTAATTATAGTCTGGTGTAAGGATTGATCAATTATAGTCTGGTGTAAGGATTGATCAATTATAGTCTGGTGTAAGGATTGATTAATTATAGTCTGGTGTAAGGATTGATCAATTATAGTCTGGTGTAAGGATTGATCAATTATAGTCTGGTGTAAGGATTGATTAATTATAGTCTGGTGTAAGGATTGATCAATTATAGTCTGGTGTAAGGATTGATTAATTATAGTCTGGTGTAAGGATTGATCAATTATAGTCTGGTGTAAGGATTGATTAATTATAGTCTGGTGTAAGGATTGATCAATTATAGTCTGGTGTAAGGATTGATCAATTATAGTCTGGTGTAAGGATTGATCAATTATAGTCTGGTGTAAGGATTGATTAATTATAGTCTGGTGTAAGGATTGATCAATTATAGTCTGGTGTAAGGATTGATTAATTATAGTCTGGTGTAAGGATTGATCAATTATAGTCTGGTGTAAGGATTGATTAATTATAGTCTGGTGTAAGGATTGATCAATTATAGTCTGGTGTAAGGATTGATCAATTATAGTCTGGTGTAAGGATTGATTAATTATAGTCTGGTGTAAGGATTGATCAATTATAGTCTGATGTAAGGATTGATCAATTATAGTCTGGTGTAAGGATTGATTAATTATAGTCTGGTGTAAGGATTGATCAATTATAGTCTGGTGTAAGGATTGATCAATTATAGTCTGGTGTAAGGATTGATTAATTATAGTCTGGTGTAAGGATTGATCAATTATAGTCTGGTGTAAGGATTGATCAATTATAGTCTGGTGTAAGGATTGATTAATTATAGTCTGGTGTAAGGATTGATCAATTATAGTCTGGTGTAAGGATTGATCAATTATAGTCTGGTTGTTTGCGACATTTTAGTCTGGCTATTTGTGACATTTTAGTCTGGTTATTTGTGACATTTTAGTCTGGTTATTTGTGACATTTTAGTCTGGTTATTTGTGACATTTTAGTCTGGTTATTTGTGACATTTTAGTCTGGTTATTTGCGTCATTTTAGTCTGGTTATTTGTGACATTTTAGTCTGGTTATTTGTGACATTTTAGTCTGGTTATTTGTGACATTTTAGTCTGGTTATTTGTGACATTTTAGTCTGGTTATTTGTGACATTTTAGTCTGGTTATTTGTGACATTTTAGTCTGGCTATTTTGCTGGGGGGGGGGGGGGGGGGTTAACGGAGGCTAGGTGGGTCACGGGGTCTATTATGGGGATCATAATAGATAGATCACGTGGTTAATGTGGGGGTCGGGTGGGTCATGATAGATGGGTACAGATATATGAGAGGGTCTAGATATTGTGTAAAGAAACGGGTTTTAAGTGATTAAGTGATGTATACTGTTAGTGGCTTGTTTCAGCTAGTTAACCAAACGTTTGTAATTACTGCTGATTAGTTAAATTTCAATTTCTCCTGCTCGGGGTTTAATGTCAGACCTACAACATTTGGACATGGACGGGTTTAAGATAAAAAGGGTATCAAAGGGAAGCTACCCACCGTTCTGTACAAACTGAGTTGTCTTCTCCGAACTTTCGCTGAGCGTTGTCTTCCTCCAGATGATGACGACGATGATGATGTAACAAACGGCGATGATGATGGCGGGGATGAAGAAAACGACGACACATATGCAGGTCATGTAGAGCTGTGAAAAGAAATTAGTCAAGCGATAATTAGATGGGAGAACAATTTAGCCAAGTGCTAATTAAAGTGCTAATTAAAGTGATCTACATGCGCACACAATAATTTAAGATTATTAATCAAAGAAAATTTAGAAGTGTTGGGGAAACACTTCTATATTGTTTTGTCTTTGGGGTATTTTAACAGATTAAAACAACAATTATGTGATTGCTTGACACGTTAAAGAGCTAAGAATTGATTGGATGACACATAGCACATTTGTTCCGTGAATAGATCGGCTGATTTGATTGGTTGATGTATGTAATTTTGTCATTGGCAAACTTCAAGTGTTGAAATTCGGCCGTTTACAGTACAATTTTAACCTTACCCTGTTTTTTTTTTTTGTAAACGTTGGACAATGATCAACTTAAAAACGTTTTTGGTTCTACCGTCACAGAACTGAACCCACCATCAACATCTCGTCTGCTAACCCAGCGCCACTACCTAACTACTTTCACCATTTTGTAACTTTCTGACCTACTTGTGCATCATATTGTAACATGCTGACCTACATTTACCGCCCCTAGTAACAACCTGACCTACTTGTACATCCTCATGCTGACCTACTTTTACCTCATCTTGTAACATGCTGACCTACTTTTACCTCATCTTGTAACATGCTGACCTACTTGTCTCCTACTGGTTTACGTGCACCGTCTTGACCTACTTGCAACATTTCCATCCCCACCCTCACCATCTACCACCAACTGACCTACTTGCAGCACCGCCGTTACCATGACAACCCAACAACCAACCACCGAGTTCCACGTCCCCCGTCACGTGTTACGCTTGTATTACGTCACCGGCCCTCAACTCTCCCACCCTCCCCGTCCCTCCCAGCATGATTATCTCATCAGTTGATTTATCTCACACTCCGCTCAATGCCTTCACGTCGCTAGTTATTTCCTCACACTGAGTGCTTTCCCTTTAAGCAGTATCTCCCCTTGTATGAGTTGCTTCCCTTCTTTAAACACCAATACCTTCTTTTATTAGCACATTTTTGTAAGCCGCATTTGAGAATTATTTGCTGTGTTAAAAAAACCGTTTTCTGACCTTTTTGCACATAAAACAAGTTATCACAAAAACTTTCAAAAATTTCTTATATTTTTAAAGTCACATTCTTAGAACATAATGTTGATGAACGTATGGATATTTTTTTTTAAAATCTAATTTTTTCCATTTTTTCTAAACAACCAAAAACTCATCTTTAAGAATCCCTGACTGACGACTAACACACACACATAACTCAACGTTTTACAAACACAAACCTAATTACATTTACATTGACCTATTGTAGACAGTAAACAAAAAGTTCAACACTGGACCCATGTACAAGTCTTCTTGAATGGCATCCGTTTTGTAAAGACGTACTGTGGATGAACTTGCTAATGACGTCATACACAAGGAATAGTCGTTCACATATAAGACAAACCTGCCACACGACGTACAGACGTACAAACCTGCCCCAGGACGTACAGACGTACAAACCTGCCCCAGGACGTACAAACCTGCCCCAGGACGTACAAACCTGCCCCAGGACGTACAAACCTGCCCCAGGACGTACAAACCTGCCCCAGGACGTACAGACGTACAAACCTGTCCCAGGACGTACAGACGTACAAACCTGGCACAAGACGTACAAACCTGTCCCAGGACGTACACACCTGCCGCCCCAGGACGTAGAGACGTACCTGCCAGACCCACTGTTCAGGGAAGTTGATCCAACACTGCCACTTGTCCCCCACCAGAGTCAACTTGTTGATGATCAACATGGGCACTGAGAAGACGAAGGCGAAGCTCCAGGCCAGACCAATCAGGAGGCGGATCCTCAGCCCTAGCAAACACAATTAGCTGAGGTCAAGGTCGCTCATTTATACAACACTCCTGTCCATTTCTACAACACTCCTGTCCATTTATACAACACTCCTGTCCATCTATACAACACTCCTGTCCATTTTTCCCACCGTTTATAATGTTCTAGCTGTCAGAAACTGCTGGCTAGTAAAAATGTTCTGTTTAAAAATTGAATTTAACAAGAATGAACCAATAAAATATTTTTTATAGTTGTCAGCTCCAGACACCTTTAATTCCCCCACCCCATTCCACATCACCCCCGCCCCCACCTCCAATCAGCATCTGATTTGAAACTAAAAGTATCCTTCATTAGTTCTTGAGATCGCACAAAGATTGGCTATTTGAATACAATCATTCCTCTGTTGGCAGTCAATTTTAGTCCGATGACAAAACTTGCCATCACGTGTGTTTTCTATTTCTCTTGTGAAATGACATCTGTGTGGGACAGAGTGACATATGTGTGTAGGACAGAGTGACATCTGTGTGTAGGACAGAGTGACATCTGTGTGGGATTTGGGATGAGTCAGATGACAAAGTGACCTGTCCTACTTCTTCTTTTCTTCTTCTTCGTTCTTAATGTTTAGTGTTGGAAGGGATCGAGCCTTATCTGCCAGAGGATTTTCTTTCTTCTTCTTCTTCGTTCTTAATTATTAGTGTTGAATCATGAATGGGATCGAGATTTATCTGCCAGTGGGTTTGAACTCGAGACTTCGTTCGAATTTATCAACCATGAGCTTTTTTGCCGACTCGACCACGCCTCCAACACAATTAAGCGTTACGTGTCAACTGGTTATGCGCCATTGAGGCCATTGACTCCGATTTCAGCCTGCTTTTCTTTTTGGATTTGCTTCCATAGCCTTTGTCCAACCAAGAACAAACTACAAGGCAGCAGTTGTTTTAATTTTGGAGTTGTCTCTCCTAGAAGAGTGGCTGTCCCCAGCTAACGAGCCTCATCTGCCCGAGGGTTCGAACTCGAGACTTTTCGGTTTAGCAACCATGAGCTCTACCGACTCGACCACCCCTACCCCTCCAGAGGATTTGAACTCGAGACTTTTTCGAATTTATCAACCATGAGCTTTTGCCGACTCGACCACGCCTCCATCACAATTAAGTATAAGTGTCAACTCGTTATGCGCCATTGAGGCCATTGACTCGGATTTCAGCCTGCTTTTCTTTTTGGATTTGCTTCCATAGCCTTTGTCCAACCAAGAACAAACTACAAGGCAGCAGTTGTTTGATTTTGGAGTTGTCTCTCCTAGAAGAGTGGCTGTCCTCAGCTAACGAGCCTCATCTGCCCGAAGGTTCGAACTCGAGACGTTTCTGTTTAGCAACCACGAGCTTTAGCGACTCGGCCACGCCGACCCCACCTGTCCTACAAAACTTTCTCCTAAATTTAGACATCACGTGATACTCTGGTTTAACACGTCGCTCTACTAGACAATTCTGTTTCATCTTTTTACTACATACACACTGACTCCATCCAAACACCATCCCTACACTACCCTTACACCATCCACACACCGTCCACACAGTGGCAGACTAGAACAAATTCCGACTAGAGACGTCTCCGACTAGAATGACTTCGGGAGACGCCCAAATAAAATGTGGGTGGGGTGATTGCCCAAGGACAGAGACGCACTTCTCCGGGAATTCCCAGATACTTTGTTTCTGACAGCTCGTTTTATGCCTTGTGAAATCTTGGAATCTTTCAAAAGGTTTCCTGGTCCAACACCCCCCTATCGACCGGAAATGATTGGACTCGTCTGCTCGGAAGTGACTTGTGCCGCCATATTGCAGACAAGTCGCTGGTGGCAGAGTGAGTTCATGTCTTGTCCAGATTTTTGGTGAGTTCATGTCTTGTCCAGATTTTTGTGAGTTCATGTCCTGTCCAGATTTTTGTGAGTTCATGTCTTGTCCAGATTTTTGGTGAGTTCATGTCTTGTCCAGATTTTTGGTGAGTTCATGTCTTGTCCAGATTTTTGGTGAGTTCATGTCTTGTCCAGATTTTTGTGAGTTCATGTCTTGTCCAGATTTTTGTGAGTTCATGTCCTGTCCAGATTTTTGTGAGTTCATGTCTTGTCCAGATTTTTGGTGAGTTCATGTCTTGTCCAGATTTTTGGTGAGTTCATGTCTTGTCCAGATTTTTGTGAGTTCATGTCTTGTCCAGATTTTTGGTGAGTTCATGTCTTGTCCAGATTTTTGGAGAGTTCATGTCTTGTCCAGATTTTTGGTGAGTTCATGTCTTGTCCAGATTTTTGGTGAGTTCATGTCTTGTCCAGATTTTTGGTGAGTTCATGTCTTGTCCAGATTTTTGGTGAGTTCATGTCTTGTCCAGATTTTTGGTGAGTTCATGTCTTGTCCAGATTTTTGTGAGTTCATGTCTTGTCCAGATTTTTGTGAGTTCATGTCCTGTCCAGATTTTTGTGAGTTCATGTCTTGTCCAGATTTTTGGTGAGTTCATGTCTTGTCCAGATTTTTGGTGAGTTCATGTCTTGTCCAGATTTTTGTGAGTTCATGTCTTGTCCAGATTTTTGGTGAGTTCATGTCTTGTCCAGATTTTTGGAGAGTTCATGTCTTGTCCAGATTTTTGGTGAGTTCATGTCTTGTCCAGATTTTTGGTGAGTTCATGTCTTGTCCAGATTTTTGGTGAGTTCATGTCTTGTCCAGATTTTTGGTGAGTTCATGTCTTGTCCAGATTTTTGGTGAGTTCATGTCTTGTCCAGATTTTTGGTGAGTTCATGTCTTGTCCAGATTTTTGGTGAGTTCATGTCTTGTCCAGATTTTTGGTGAGTTCATGTCTTGTCCAGATTTTTGGTGAGTTCATGTCTTGTCCAGATTTTTGGAGAGTTTTGTCAGCTGCCACTACACTTCCTGCTGCTAAATCTGTCACCATAGAATTTTGTGTAACTTGCTTAGGTTCAAAATGTAATGTTTATTTTTACTAAACGATTGACTTAAGTTATTTCACTATACTTTACATCAAGTGTAGGCATGAGTATGTTATATACTATGGCGGGACACACGTGACTAGCTTATTAAAATAACTGTGTATATCATGTTGTAAACAGAGGCCATTGGGAAGCAGAAAGCGGCCGCTCCACATTAGAATATTTATAATGAAACGGTGTAGTTTTGCTTAGTATCATCAGGTAGAAATGAGAACCTACTAACATTACAAAAAACCCTAGTCTAAAAACAAACTCAGGGTCTGATCTCTGGAGTATGGGCCGACCCCCCCTTAGCCCCCCCGAGGGTGTACAAAAAGCAACTCACGGTCACCGCTGAAACTGAGGGGCCGGGCGATGGCGTTGAGCCGCCCCCCCCCCCCCCCGAGGGTGTACAAAAAGCAACTCACGGTCACCACTGAAGCTGAGGGGCCGGGCGATGGCGTTGAGCCGCCCCCCCCCCCCCCCCCCGAGGGTGTACAAAAAGCAACTCACGGTCACCGCTGAAGCTGAGGGGTCGGGCGATGGCGTTGAGCCGGTCCAGGCTCAGGGCCACCAAGGCGTAGGTGGAGCCGTAGGTCACGACGCCCTGGCTGTACCTGACGATCTTGCAGCCGACACTCCCAGCATGCCACTCGATCGTGTTTTTCCAGACGATGTCCGTCAGCACGTTGACCAGACCGGCAGACAGATCTGAAACATGGGGGAATTTTTTTATCAACATGGGCGGGGCTTTGTTTCTGCTGAACTTTAATCAACATGGGCGGGGCTTTGTTTCTGCTGAACTTTAATCAACATGGGTGGGGCTTTGTTTTCTCTGAACTTTAATCAACATGGGCGGGGCTTTGTTTTCTCAGAACTTTAATCAACATGGGCGGGGCTTTGTTTTCTCAGAACTTTAATCAACATGGGCGGGGCTTTGTTTTCTGCTGAACTTTAATCAACATGGGCGGGGCTTTGTTTTCTCTGAAATTTAATCAACATGGGACTTAAGGACTGGTTAGATAAGTATTACTTCGCCTCACTCACTCTCTGCCCCCCCCACCCCACACCCCGCGGTTGAACGTGACATCCTGTTATTTTCGGTACCAGACACGGAGTTCTAGTATTCTAAACTAGTTTTCACCCCTCGCATGTGAACATAGGGCCTACATGTTCTAGAACTTCGGTCTTGTTCTTTTAAATTAAGTTCATCATGACCTAAGACTGCATAAAGTCTATGTCATGACCTAAGACGGCATGAGGTCTATGTCATGACCTAAGACTGTATAAAGTCTATGTCATGACCTAAGACGGTATAAAGTCTATGTCATGACCTTTTGTAAGTCTTGGCGTCTATGTGAAGACTTGTGAGAGCTACTAAACCGAACGGCTCAAAAAATGTAAAGTACATTTCATTCAATCTGCTAAAACTTGACATCTTTGTCCCTGCCCCAAACTCCCCCCCCCCCCGCCCCTGTCCCAGCCCGACTGTCGCCTCACCCCCCCCCCCTCACCCCCCCCCCTCCCCCCACCCCCCCCATATCCTGCTTATCCAACCACTCAAGGGATGCAACCCTCTCAGACTTTAATGCCTTTTACACGCATGCGCACTCGATGCAGTCATTGTGCACGTGTGGCCCAGACGACAGGAACGTTTTGTTATTCCCATCGCTTCCAGTCAGCCAGCTGCAGCCAGCCAGCTAGCGACAGTCAGCTAGCTACAGACAGCTAACTGCAGCCAGCTAGCTAGCGACAGTCAGCTAGCTGCAGCCAGCCAGCCAGCTACAGTCACCTAGCTGCAGCCAGCCAGCTAGCGACAGTCAGCTAGCTGCAGCCAGGGACAATATTTCTACGTCATCAGTCAGGTGAAATGCGATTGGTCGAAACGTTTTGATAGCCAGGCTTTCATCGCTGGTATCGTTTGTAATAAACACTGACTGACATAATATACAATAAACACTGACTGACATGGTATACAATACTTGGTCTATAATATAATGTCCTACACACGTCGTCTGTCATACAAATAGATTGTCCAACATTCAACTTTTTTCAATGGCTACTATCCAAAACGACAATAGCCACACACACTACAATTTTTTTCATAATAAACGTTTTAATAACAAGCGTTTATGTAATAATGCACTAAAAAGTAGAAAATAAATTATACACTACTATTCAAATAAATATAAAGAAAATCGTGGATCACTTTAGTATCTATTGGATACCTTTACTAATGTTTAGGAAGAGACCCACGCTTTTCTTTATAGCCACACCGCCACACCCAACCACACCGTCGCACACAACCACACCGCCACACCCAACCACACCGTCGCACACAACCACACCGCCACACCCAACCACACCGCCACACCCAACCACACCGTCGCACCCAACCACACCGCCACACCCAACCACACCGTCGCACACAACCACCCAGCCACAGTTTACTTCTGTAAAGATTAATGTATCTCTCAACCCCCTCCATCAACTCCCCCCACCCCCACCCCCTCCCCCCCACTCCCCCCACCCCGCCTCCCACCCCCCAACACTAAAGTCTATCAATCTAAATCTGGCTGTACTTGAATGAGAATTAAGCTCACACTTTTAAACTCTGGAGAGGGTGAGCTTAAATCGACGCGATGTAACCGACCCCAAAGTGAACCCCGGGTTCAGGTTCGTTAAACCCTGCTCCAGCGATCATCGATTCATCTCTCCCACCCCCTCCCCTTCCACCCCCACCTAAAGCGTCATGTCCACGGCAGTTTGACGGCCAAAAATTGTGTAAAAACGAAATTCGAGCGCCATCAATGTTTCGAAATCTCGGGAAAATTTTCTATTTTTTAAGCTCATTAGGTAAATAAAAAATATCCCATAATTAGTACATAACGATCAGCTAGAGGAATCTATGTGACGTGACATTTTTAAAAACAAATTAGGTTTTCGAATTTTTGAGTAATTACAGTACAGGACCAGTAGCAGACTTGAAGTCAAAGTTTTGATCCTAACGGCAACTTCAGGGGTCGATGGACGCTTCTAGAAGGAGTCATCTACTTAAACTAGCGGGTTAAATTTAAACCTGGTCCAATTACCGGGTTTTTCATCAAATTTACATGGTCCAATATGCGATTATTTTTCAGCAGAACACTTTAAATCAGGGTTCTAATAAATCTTTTATTGTTTACATTTTCTGTTTGTATTGTCATTTTTTATTGTTCAAATTAACATATTTTATCGGATCAAGTTATGCGTGTTCACAAGATGTGTAATGACCTGCTATTGACCTGCTTCTGACCTATTACTGACCTGCTATGGCCAAGTTGAGGATGATGTGAATGACCTACTGACCTGCTATGGCCTAGATGAAGATGTGAATGACCTACTGACCTGCTATGGCCTAGATGAAGATGTGAATGACCTACTGACCTGCTATGGCCTAGATGAAGATGTGAATGACCTACTGACCTGCTATGGCCAAGTTGAGGATGAAGATGTGCATACGTGACCTTCGTGACTTTGTGACGCAGATGGCGATGATGACCAGAGTGTTGCCCAACACGATCAGGGCAAACAGGATGTACAGGAAGGTCAGCTGTTCTTCCTGGGGAGAGAAGGTCAATGGTGGTCAACCTGGGACACGTCAGTGACCTACAGGTCAAAGTTTGACAAGTCAGGTGACCTACAAGTTTGACACATTACATCACGAAACAAATTAGACAACAGCAACAGCAGAGGGTCAATATAAAAAAAAAAATGAGATAAACTTTCATCAACAAACGTGTGACGACATTCTTCGTGTAAGAGGATCCAGCTCTATGTAGAGTCGAGGCTGACTCTCACAGTATGTAGAGTCGAGGCTGACTCTCACAGAAATGGCGAGTCAAACAACTCAAATGACTCTATCAACAGTAGCTGACCGCTGACGTCATGTCCAGTCCACAGTAGAATGATTACTCGACAAATTAACCCCCACCCTCCCCCACCCACCACGTGCCCGTGTAGAATGGAGGTTAAGTCAAGAGCAGAACAAGATGGCGTCATGTTGACCGCTGGCCCCTCGTGTCCAGTGAAGGACGAAATTGACCACATCCTTTGGTCATCTCCTCCCCCCACCCTCCCCACCCCTCCCGACCCGTTTCAGATTCCCTCACTCCGTTCGTTGAACAAAAGTCCCCAATGTCCGCCTGAAGGTCAAGCTATTCCGGCCATTATTCTAGACTATCGAACGTAATTAAATCTCATCCAATCATATCAAGTCTATCAGACATGTCTTCCTATTACAGCCAATCAAAACTTACTTTTCTTTATAGATCTCGTGTCTTAGGTGTAAGGGCTGATTACTTTAAGATTACAGTCGTGAGTACCCGGGTCCAGGGCGCTGTCCCCCCCCCCCCCCCCCGACTGGTCAGTTATGACAGACCGGATGTGACCGTTTAGTTCCACGGTGCCAGAACTCTTGGAGAGTTGTTTACATAACCCAGATCCTGGGTGTGTTTGCCTGGCTACCGTCTGTATCAATACGCCGCACTATGTTATCTAACTGTATCAATACGCCGCACTATGTTATCTAACTGTATCAATACGCATAGTTATGTTATCTTACTGTATCAATACGCCGCACTATGTTATCTAACTGTATCAATACGCCGCACTATGTTATCTAACTGTATCAATACGCCGCACTATGTTATCTAACTGTATCGATACGCCGCACTGTTATCTAACAGTATCAATACGCCGCACTATGTTATCTAACTGTATCGATACGCCGCACTGTTATCTAACTGTATCAATACGCCGCACTATGTTATCTAACTGTATCAATACGCCGCACAATGTTATCTAACTGTATCAATACGCCGTACTACTTTACTGTCTGTATCAATACGCCGCACTATGTTACAAAAATGTATCAATACGTCGCACTACTTTACTCTCTGTATAAACACATCACTCTATTTTACCTGACTCTCTGTAACAACACGCCGCACTACTTTACTATGCTGTCTGTATCGATACGCCGAACCACTAATTGGTCCGCCGCACTATTTTCCCTCTATAAATATTGTATTTCTCAAGGAACCCAACTTTATTCTCGAGGTTGTGGAGTGGCCGGTTGAGAACGTTCGAGTATTTTTTGTTCCTGTCCAAGTTTGGGCAGAAATGTTCTGGTTGGGTGCTCACACGGGTGGCCCGTGGTTGGGGAACGGATGGCCCGTGGTTGGGGAACGGATGGCCCGTGGTTGGGGGTTTTAGAACATAGAACAGCTCTTTTGTTTCCTTTGATTTGTTGGGGTAGGTTATTGTGTTTCAAACTGTCTCTAACTCATCCAACATGAGCGATAAACTTCAGATAAACATGACCCAGTAGCACATGAAACAGTAGCACATAAAACAGTAGCACATAATGACGATCGTATCAAATGGTTTACTCTGTATCTCCCCGTGATGACGACAGTTTATCCATTACTCTAGCCTGCATCAGGAGTCAGTAAACGATAAACAAGGTGTGAGCACAAGGTTCAATTGCCCAAGATTACCAGCTGTTTATAAACAGCTTCAAGACGGGAATTCAACAGACAAAAGACAGACTTTGGAATATGGGCTACTTGAGATAGCGGCCAAACATTTACATTGCCGTGCAAATAGTTTTAGTTGGGCAGGTAAGATGCTACTTTATCTTCCATTAGAGCGAGAAAGTATTTGGCTAATTTAACCACCTTCAGTGTCTATCAGGATATGGCTAATTTAGCCTTCACCAAGTTCAAAGTCCTAAGGTTTACAGATGTGAAACCAAACACAGGGGACGTAACCAAACAATTTTACGTTAGATTGCTGCCGCGAAAAATGTGAAAGGTTTCTGTGTTTTTGAATGTTGAGTTTACTTGATACAAACAGCCAAGTTCACAGGCCACTGGGTATAGAATGGTTTAAATAACCCTAACACAAATCTTAAACCTTTATCTAAAACAACACTTTACAAAAATGGCGTCAAGTTTATGTAGGTAAATATACATCACAAGAGAGATTAGCCACTGATCTAAATGGTTTTTGTTAGATTTCACCGACTGCTGATGTAGCATACACAGGGTGGTTGATGTAGCATACACAGGGTGGTTGATGTAGCATACACAGGGTGGTTGATGTAGCATACACAAGGGGGTTGGTGTAGAACAAACAGGGTGGTTGATGTAGCATACACAGGGTGGTTGACGGAGTGACAGTGTAGGGTAGAAACTTGATATATCAAGACATGTTATAGAAACTTGATATATCAAGACAGGTTATAGAAACTTGAAATATTAAAAGACAGATTATAAAAACTTGATTAAGACAGAAAATAATAGCTTGATATTTAGACAGATTCTAAAAAGTTGATATATGAGACAGATTCTAAAAAGTTGATATATAAGACAGACTATCAACTTGCGGGGAAACCTGTGTAAAATGTGCGTAGGTCAACCAAGAAGAGAATATTCTAGAACTCAATTAGCCCTTCACATTTCTCTAGATATTTTGTTCAGGTCATTTTTGTTCAGTTAAAGGTCAGCTCAACACACATCTGTCTACCTAACACTCTGGTGTCCTATGGTAGCCAGATCATGTGAAACACAATTCTCAAACGGATTGGTTAAAAAATCCCATTATAAAGTAATGAATACCAAAAACATTTAACAGCGAATTATTCCCCTTGATTCTTACGAAATAAATCCAGTGTATAGTAATGTATCCACAGTTTTAACATTAGAATCATCCACATGTATCACAGCTATGTTGATCTCAAATGTCGAGTAGTTTCTTTCAAACCCCAAAACAGAAATATCGCCGACCTTTTGTATCAGCGATATTTTAAAATCGATTCCTACCGGAAATAAAAATTTCCAGTGTTTTGTCTTCTACAGGAAAGTTGATTTGTTTAAAATAACAAGAAAAATTCAGACATGTTCTAAAGTGTTAGCTTTTTAGAAGAATTTTTTTTTACAAACTACATGTCGCAATAAATTGTAATTTATTTTTTAATTACCTTTGCTATCTACGTAACATACACCACCCTAATATCGTCTACCTGCCGCAGTATTTAAAAGGACAAGACGACGTCTGCCTCCCCTATAATATCAAGTTTTGAGCAAATCGCTAAAGCATCAAGTTTTTTAACCCATGCTACAGAAATAGCTGGCAAACTTGATTAGCTAATAAAATCCACGCTCAATAATTCCAGAATTATAGATCTTGTTATAGATAGAACATGCATGAGCCAGGAGACAAATTTTTGGAGCATGGAACAAATTTTTGGAACATTGAACACATTTATGGAACATGGAACAAATTTATTCATCATGGAATAAATTTAGTGAACAAGAAACAAATTTATGGAACGTGGGTGGGGCTGGGGGGGAGAATTAATTATTGCTGACTCGAATCGAACTCAGCATTTTCTGGTTAGCAGTCGTGTACTCTACCACGCGACCACGCCATTCCTGTAAGAGCCTAGACATTGCCTGGTGCCAACACTAACAATAGTTTTCTTTGAAACTGACGGTACATTGGACAGGTGAAGCAGAGTTCACCTGTTTCAGTGACCTCGGCTAAGTCGACCCGTGATCGCCCACCAGTCGTTGAACTAAAGTCGAATCAAAACATCAGGCCAAAGTTCTCTGCTCGTTAGCATAACTATCATTCCACTTCCGGCCATGCCACGTGGCTAATCACGTTGGGTATCAAGATCATCACCGCTCTAGGATCTCGGCAGGATGTGAATTACGGCGACATTAGCCGGCCAATCATTGCGGGGACGAATCCACGCTGGACACAAATTGTAGGCCACGCGAGAATCAGATACGGACCGAGACAAAGTTATAAGCACGTGACCTTTGATGACGTCAGCTAAGCACGTGCTGTATAATAATTCGACGCATGCGCATTCATAACTGTCTGGACCCAATCTCCAGCTCCAATTGCAAGAGCCCAATGAAGTCAATATTTCCAATCATATCGATATCTAGCCATATCGATATCTAGCCAGTTCATAACTGGCAAATCACTGCTAAATATATTTATCATAAATTTTATGCAATACGCATCTCTAAAAGGCTGAAATCAATATTTTCTAGCCCTTGCAATGCACTTGATTACAATAATTGAGGCTAATTAAGTCACTGTCTTGCAGTTTTATAAACTTTCACAGTAGTGTACATGACATTAGTGTACTTGACATTAGTGTACTTGACATTAGTGTACATAACATTAGTGTACATGACACTTGGTGCGGTAAAGTTAAGCCAATGAAGTACTTTGTTTCTAATGACATGGGCCAATGGAGTACTTTGTTTCTAATGACATGAGCCAATGAAGTACTTTGTTTCTAATGACATTAGCCAATGAAGGCCCAGCTTATAACGTGCCCATAACAATTTGTGGCCAAGTGTGACAGTGTTGGCCACTGAAGATTCTTGCATCAGACACAAGACACTCAAGTTGGCCAAGTTTCCAGCAGACATTTTGTCTGACTCGATGTGCCAGGCTGTCTCGCCCTGTGTGGGTATCTGACGTGAAAAATCTGGTCTGTCCTCTCGAGGGTGGGATGCGCATGGAGTGGGGGTG